GTTGGGGGTTGGGTGGAGTTCGTGAAGTGGCTGCTAGGATGCGTTCCCCAGCGAGAGCCGCAGCCGCTCTGAAAGTTGCAGGGGACGGGGAGGCACTCTCTGGGCTTTCTTAGGTTGCTTTGCTCTTGTTGTTTTCCTTCCCCGCAAGTGGAAAGGGGGAGTTCCTAATCCTGTGTCGTGTCTCTCGGCGAGCCAAAGGTTGGGCAGGCCGTGACCTTGGCTGGGGCAGAGGGGACCCCTCTTTCTAGAAGCTGTGAAGCAGTGCTGGGGAGGAGGGAACTACTGCTCCGGGGCTGCTGGAGAACAGCAGCCTTCCCAGGCCTGGAGCTAGGGTCTTAATTGGGGCTGGATTGGCCTCTCTAACAGCAGGATGGAAGTGCAAGGCACACGCTTACTTTTTGTAAAGATCTCCAGGACCTAATTTTCCTGTCTTCTCCTATGTGGTTTTTTTTGTTTAGCTTTATCTGTTCAAGTTTGTAACTGTCTCAGAGAATGTATTCACAAGTTAATTCTATTCTAGCTTGCTGGAAAAGTTGCATATCACCACTGACACATTCAGCTCCTGCGTGTTCCTCCTAGTAGCAGAGTCAGCCTGGTAGTTGCTTCCCTTGCTGTAAGCAACGGGAACAAGAGAACGTGCCTCTCTGTCATTATCAGTTGCATGCCTTGCATCCTGGGGTTTCAGAATAGCTCAGCACCATCTGCATGTAGACAAATGCCTTCTCCTGGGTGTAGCTGCACAGTCCAAGCTAGTCGCGTGTATTCTGCATGCCATGTGCACGCGTGCAGATAGCTGAAGTATTTGCTGCAGGATTGGAAAAGGTTCTTTAGCAGCTACTGTGAGCTGATAACTGTTAGAAGGGGTTGTTACCTGTGGGTGATGGGTGTTAGCGAAGTGAATTGTCATATCTGTGGGCTTATGTGATTTCATGTCCTGTTTTCATCACCTTTTCCTTCTTCCCATTCCCCCTCCCTCTTTTTCTCTTGCAGGGTGATCTTGAGTTCTTCTTAATTTGCTAGTGCTCAGCCTCCTCATGCCTCCATCTCCTTTAGACGACAGGGTAGTAGTGGCACTTTCGAGGCCAGTGAGACCTCAGGATCTCAACCTAGATTTAGACTCTAGCTATCTTGAATCTGCCTCTTCTGCCGGTGAGAGCCACTCCAGTCTGCTCGGCGCAGCTGTCGTGTCCCTAAAGACTGCTAATCTCACGTATATGCCCTCATCTAACGGCTCTGCACGCTCCCTGAGTTGTGGATGCAGCAGTGCCAGTTGCTGCACTGTGGCAACGTACGACAAGGACACTCAGGCCCAAACTCAAGCGAGCACCAGCAACGCCAACGCCGGAGCCTCCACTGCCTGCCCTGCCAACCAAATGGTCAACAGCAATGAGAACGCCGGCAGCTTGAGCCCCCTGGGCGGTGTGGGGAGCCCCGTCTCAGGCACCACCAAGCAACTCGCTAGCATCAAAATCATTTACCCCAATGATCTGGCAAAGAAGATGACCAAATGCAGCAAGAGCCACCAACAGAACCAAGGGCCTGTAATCATTGACTGCAGGCCATTCATGGAGTATAATAAGAGCCATATTCAAGGGGCTGTCCACATTAACTGCTCTGATAAGATCAGCCGGAGAAGGCTCCAGCAGGGCAAGATCACAGTCTTGGACTTGATCTCCTGCCGGGAAGGCAAGGACTCCTTCAAGAGGATCTTTTCCAAAGAAATCATAGTTTATGATGAGAATACCAATGAGCCAAGCAGAGTAATGCCTTCCCAGCCACTCCACATAGTGCTGGAGTCACTCAAACGAGAAGGCAAGGAACCCCTAGTCCTCAAAGGTAATGCTCCTCTTTGCCCACGCGTAACCTCATGGTTTGCTTTGCACCGTATGTATTCTGCCATCAGCCTTGCTGATGGTTGAAATTTCAGAGCATTTGTTTGTTTCTCAGAAGGCCTGTGTGCCTTGAGTCGCCAATGGCAAAGCAAGTGTCTTCCATGAACGTAGTAAGGAGATGCTTGCTTTTCTCTGACTGTTGTCCTTGAGTAGCGGAGAGGGTGGGAACTGGACGGAGGAGGAAACGTGCTTCCTGGTGTCTGTCTGTGCAGACAAAGAATTTCCCCCAGTGCTCGCTCTGCGTATTTATAGCCCAAAGGGCAGAGGTCCAGGAGGGCATACTTCTCTTTTAGCCTGTCAGACTGACCTTTACTTAGCAGTCTTATTTTTGTCTGTATTAAACTGAACTCATAGGTGCTGGAGATAGGCAGTGGAAGAAGGGAGGAGGAAAGATGAGGGAGGCCAGTTGGGCTGAGGCATTGCATCATGGACCAGTCAGCAAAACTTGAGGAGCTGTCAAGCCTTGTTCTGGTGGTATGGGGTTAGAATAATGGACGGAGGCAGATACTTTGTCTAAAAAGTGATCTGAAAGTGCTGTGTTTACATGTATGCATGCTTGTATATGGTTTTCCTGTAAAGGCTCCTGTTTTAATGCAGTGTTTGGTCTGTCCCTTAATGCTCTGGGGGAAACAAGCCCAACCAATTAAGGCAGCATCCAAGGACACTTCCCTTTCTTCACTCAATTCCATAGCTCCTATTTATAACAATGCTGCCCTCTAGATTGAATCTCCTTTCCCATGGGTGTTGATGCCATTCAGAGGCATATGGCTTGGCAGAGACTGGCGGTGGCACGGAGAAGCTATGGAAGGTTTTGTTGCTTAGTTCATACTGTGTGTATTTAATTCACTTCATTTTTTTTCTTTACAGCTTGCTACTTCTAACATGCACAACATGGCAGGAAAATGGATTGAGCGGATAGTTTATCCCCTTCCCTCTGTTTTGTTTCAGAGCTTTAAAGGAGCTAAGGGTCCTGAGAGATACTCTTCTGTGGGTGATCTTGTGGAAGCTTAAAATTGTGCTGAACTTTCTTCTTGCTCCCAGCAAGTGTATGGCCATGCTACGTTTACTTTGACACTTGCTACAGTTTCCCAGTATGCTTTTCTTGAGTCTTTGGGTCATGGTGGTGCCCTTCACTTGTGGGGAAAAAAAAAAGAAAAAAAAAAAAAAAGGAGAGGGGCTTTGAAGGGTGAGGTTACCACTGAAGTCCTGTGTTTCTGGCAGTAGTCATTCTGTTGTACAGCTCTTGCAACCAGATACGTGGTTCTGGTCTGCAAGCCTTCCTATCCTTAGAGAAGTGGGGTGCTGGAGGCGTCGTTTGCTGAGTTTCTCTGAAAACACTAAAGCTCCTGTGAACCTCAAATGAGCAGTTTTTCAGTACCTGAAATAAGAGGCCCTGGCTGAGATGGAGCTAGAGAGCTGTAGTTGGGCAGCACTGAGCTGCTGGGTCGCATGGGCAGGTTGTGGGCAGCCCCTTCTCCCACCTTCCAGTGCTGGTTGCTGTGCTGGGTTTAACTGAATGCTTGCGGGATCGCTTGGGCCATTTGTTCAACCACTGAGAAATGCTAGCACCTGCCTCGAGGACTTGCTTAGCAGAAATCCCCGCCCCAAACTCTTCTGCCAACAGGTCTGGAAGCATGGTAGAATTCAGAGGAAGCCCAAATCCTTTGTGTTTTGGATGTAGTGATCATCTGGGCCAGAGCAGACCGTACCTGGGGAAGCGTGTAGTGAGGAGCTCCCCCTGTCACCTTAACTCCCCTCCTCTCCTGCCCTTTGAAGTGGGGCTGGAAATAAAGTGGAATGGCGTTGAGCATACAATAAAGCAGCATTTAGGAAGGCTGTGGTTAAGTTTCTGAGCCCGAGGAGCGGTGCTGGAAGCCCTCGTTATTTAGTTTCACTTGTCAAATAGCGTTTTTTCCATCATGTTTCAGCAGCCCGGGGGCTGGCCTGCGCATGCCCCTGGGTTCAGGCACCGAAAGGAAACCGGGGGTAGCTGGGGAGCCCTCTTTGCTGCCATTTGTTATTTTGAGCGATTTCTCTTGCTCGCTGCAATCCGGTCCTAATTTATGGCTGGCCCATCTGATCCCCTGTGTTGTGTTTGCAAACACTGGTTGCTAGCCTGGCCGTCCAAGTTTATGTCCCCCTGATCCGGTGCCACCTTCTCCATGTTTGGTGCTGCCTGTCAGCCCGCGGTCCCGTTGCCGTTTTCGTGGCGTGGTGTCGTGTTGTGGGGCAAATCTGATCGGCAAAGCTGAGGGTTGAGTTACAGCTTTGGCTTACAGCGCACTGGGGTAGCAACGTGGCCCTGCCTGTATTTAGGTTTTAGGTGCCTGAGTCTTTTTAAGCAGCAGGGAAACTCTGCTGTTTCCAAAGGCCAGGCTGTGATCTATAGATAAATATATGTATGGGGCTCCATATTAGGCTCAAGTTAAAAAGAGGTGGCCTGATATATTTTTAATGTAGCAGAGCAATATATAAACTTGTGCCGTGATGAGAGTTTTGGGGTTTTATGTATGCTGTGTTATGGGGGGATTTTAAGACCTCTGTTCCTCCCCTCCTATCCATACTTTTCTTTGCCGCTTTCTTTAACATGGAGCGCTTTTTTTATTGTCGTAAATATAACATTTGCATAATTTTGACTTAAGCTCTTTAGAAGCAAAGATTTGCTTATTTCTTTGTTCATGAGACACAACAGCACTTGAGACAGGCATAACCCCCCTATTTTTACAAAAAGGAAAAAAAAAAATATCATACTTCTCAGTGCTGCTACATGGGCTCTAGCAGCCTAAGCTCAGGGCTGAAGCTGCTGCTCAGTCTGTTTGCACACAAAATAAGAAGTCATGTTTCCCCCCCTGTACCCACACCCCTTCTTATTAGACCACGGTATTTCATGTGTACTGAAATCTAAAGGCCTCCCTTTTTGTGGATGCGTGGGGTTTTTTGGTTTGTTTGGTAGTTCGTGGTTGTGTGTGTGTTTTTTTGGTTTTTTTGTTGGTTTTTTTTTTTTTTCTTCCTTAGTATTGGGAAGGAGAGGATGAAAAGACAGTGATGTGAGCCCAGTGTCCGTTCCACTTGAGGCCAGCGGCAAAACTGTTGCTAAATTTGGGGAGGGGGAGCATGGTGGTGGAGCCCCAGGCTGGCTCAGCAGCCTTGGCCCTCTTTGGCAGGGTTGTTCCCCTGTCTCTCCTGCAAATGCCCTGTGGTGAGGCATCTCTGCCTTCCCTGAGCGCCTCAGCTCATAGCAAAAATGGCCTGGAGTCTTGGGGGTTTGTGTGCTTGAGTTTGCTACTGGGACCTAAAAATAGGAAGTGGGGAAATTCATTTGCATTCAGATGAAAAGTATTATTTTACTCAGAATAAAACGTTTAGGTTTGGAGTTGAGCGTGTCTCTTTTTTTTTTTTTCCAAGCTAAATTAAATCTGCAAATGAAACAAAAAATGAAAAACTGAAGCATCTGTGCCAACATATTTCAACAGCCTTTAACACGACAGGAGTTGCCTTTGTCTCCCTGGCTGGTGTCTAGTGGTATTGTCTTCATCCTGCCCTTCCTCCTCTGCCTTCGAGCCCCACCAGTGGGAACCTTGTGAACCCGCTGAAGTCTTGTGTTTAGTTTTTAAAGGCTTCTGTGTTTGACTGCAGGGAAACACCAAATTCAAAAGCAGAGGTGCAAAATGTAATTTGGTGAATAATCTTTTTTTTTTCTGCTGCACGCTGTAAACTGATGGCTGAGCTGCTGCAAGGGGCATGGGGAGGAACTGGCTGATGGTGATAACAACTGGTTGCTTCCCTGTTCTTGTTCCTGGTCCGAGGAGCTTGCTTATGCTCTGGCTTTCAGTCTTCTCATTGCTCATCTAACAGGGAAATAAATGAAGTGACTTGCTCTCGTTATAGTGGGGAGTACAAGACCTGCCAGCAAACCACTTCATGCTTTCTGCTGCGGTCTAAGAATAGCTTCAGAGCTCTTAGCACACCGAAGCTGTGTATCAGTGAAGTTATATCGGTCCCTTTGTAGTTGAAACCTCTATAAAAGGAATGAGTACCTGATTTGCGTTGTCCCATGTTCACGTAAAACACTATGATCAACTGCCTTTGGAATAACTGACCTGGTCATAATCTGTTGCAAGTGCATTATTAATTATGTAATTTAACAGTGCCGGTGTTGCTTTAAACCCTAATTGAATTACCCTGCACAAGTGTATTTGAGAGTAAAACTTGACGCAATGGTCAACAAATCCAGCTGACCAGCAAAACACGTGCCTGGCACTTACTTCCACCAGAGATCTCCACTGAATAATTATTAGGTCATGGTTGTAATAGGGAAATGTGTATTTTTAAGTGTTAAGTAACGCGTGTGAAGCGTCCAATGTGTTTAAAACGTGTGTTCCCTCTGGGCTGCAGAGGAAATCTGGCCCCATCAGTCACTAGGGGGAAGAAACTTCTGCTGGCTCTGTTAAGGCTGAGATTTCACCTTCAGTTTTCAGACTCTGGTTGCTGGAGCTTCAAAAAGCATCTCCTTCTCCACTGGAATAGATAGTCTTATTGGCCAAAACACTTGAAAATCGGCTTTGTGTGCCTTTTGCGTATAGATAAATTGGGGCAATAGGGTGGTTGGAGACTAGTTTTTTTCTGTACTTGGAGGGGATGCTTCTGCAGAGGAGTGTACCTCTCAACTTCGCCCATTCAACAGTCATGGAAAGTGTAGCATTTCCTCCTGGATGAAGGCATCTGAGAATTCAAAGTGCTGGCTTGCGCAGTGCCTGTCACGTTTTAACTGTCCTTGGGGGGAAGAGAGCAATGACACTGCCTTGGAAAGAGAGGAACAGGAAGGAGACTTTTGCTTTTTTTTTTTTTAAATTTTTATATCTCTCTAGCTTCTCATACACTTGGAAACCAAATTAAGAGTCAAGAAGCAAACTGTTACATTAGGCAAATATCTCTGATGCTTGT